TGGCTTTCATAGTCTCATCACTATACAGCGTATCACATTTAATAATTAAAAAGAGTTATGTGATACAAACGCCATAGGTTTCAGTGTTAAAGTAAACCAGATCGTCCCTATTCTTTCTTGTCGATAAGGTCCATGGTCGCTCCGCCTTCCCAACTTTGTGTATGCAACGCATTCTGAGATTTTACTGCCGATTTTCAAAAAATCACCAAGCAGTGGGCTAAAGCACATTTTCACCAATAATAATTTTAAATACCTTTTTACCACAAATATCAATTATAATTTACGCATAAAATTTTTAGTATCCGTTATGGTGCTACTTTGGTAGACCGGTTGCACGGATTTTTGGCGCGATTTTAACAATCGTCAGCCATCTTGAAAAACAGCTGTTTTTACGTATTTTGCCCATAGTAAAGTATTCGAAACTCTAAAAAAATGGATTAATTTTTTTGTTGAAAGCGTTGTTTTTTAAGATGGCAGGCAAATGTAAATAAATACATTTACTACGAATATAAAATACTAAAGTAAGGTTAAATTATTACTTTCATATAGCAATGAAATAGAATAAAAACACCGTTATAAAAACATTGCCCCAACGTTTAATTGGATTAAAATATTACTTAAGCTGAATATCGAATTAAAAACTATCATACCAACGTTTAAAAGAATTAAAATATTACTTAAATTCAAATACTTTAAAATAAGTGAAAAAGAACGCTTCGTACACTAGAGCTAAATAACAGCAGTTAGAAGTTTACTGTCGGAAAAAAAGGAGGAATGTCTAATAATTTTTTAAATTCAATACCGTTACAGCGGTTATTTCTTCCATCCTTGAACCACAATACCATATACATATAGCAGTCGTCCACAGAATCGGTTCTTTTAACGATCTTCACATCTGTGATCCACATTTCTCGCACTTCATTGAAAGAACGCAATTAGCGAAGGTTTCCTCCAAAAATTTAAAATAAATTTCCTTTGACCCTTGTAGCAATTTATAAATAAATCTTTAAATAAGGAATGCTAGGTTGGCCAAAATAAGGTCTCAAAGGACAATTTTTTTGATTCCGATACCAATAATTCTTGGTACTTACCAATAACAACATTAATCTTTGAAAGGGACATATCCGTTCCCTGTGAAATCTAAGGAATTCAAAGAGATGATTAATAAAATTTTAAAATGGCGCGGTAATGCACAAATATTCAGTAATTAATCAGGGAGCTGATTACAGCTTGTTAATGCATAAATATTCTGTAACAAATCAGGGAGCTGATTACATCACGCATATAATTAAAATTATTTAAATAATCATTCATAATAAAATCATTTAAAAAAAAAGGCAAAATTAAATTGTATTTTAATATTTAACAGCCTTAAATAATATTTAAAACATTAGATTAAATTTATAGATATTAAAAACCAATTACTTTTAAAGCAAGGTGACGTCATTGACATCATCCACAACATAAAATTATATAAAATATCATAAACAATAAATTTTTACATCAAATAAAAACGCAAAATTAAATTTTGATTTTTAATATTTAGAAGCCATAAATAATATTTAAAACACAGAATTTATGCATAATAAAACGCATTATTTAAAAAATGTTTTTAAATAAAATGACTACAAAGTATCCGTTACCATAAATAACTTGTACAGAAATGGGTTTACCATAAGGCGTATCGCTGGCCAAAATCCGTGCAACCGTCTACCAAAGTAGCACCTTTTTAGTTTATGGAGATAATTTGAATACAGTCTTTTAGTTACAAATTTTTCATGCATCTCCTAGCTGGTAAAACTTCAGAATTATCATTTTAAAACAATTTCTTATGTTGCTGAACAACGGTTACATCATACAAATATGGCGTTGCCACTTCAGTAATAAATATAGTTATTTGTTAAATAACAAAATATTACAGTATGTAGCCATTAGCATATTAGTTACTTTTTGGATGCATTGTCATAAAATTCTGAAATTAAAGGACAGGTGCTGTTTATATAAATATGTATGGATTTTCAATTCTTGATATTTATCATTATATTTAAATGAAACTGTGTATTCATTAATCATAAAAGACTTAAGATATTAGCATGCTATAGTTTTGATGCATGATCTGATGGTTTTACTTATCCTAATTATAATTAATATGCACATTTTTTTCTGAAAAATGATCAAACTTTAATTCCTTGTATAAACTAGTTTTGTAAACCAATGTAATCACAGTGAAAATTTCACAGAAAATGATGTAGAATTTCATTTTATCCATTAGACTTCTATCTAATGGTACAATTTAGAAGTAAATGTAGTACTTTCTGATTATATGCAGTCCCCTTCCAAAAAGTATCCAGTCATTAATGACTAATTTTTCACCTAGCTAAATGCAAAAGACAACAGCCATTTTCAAAAGACACAGTACACTAAGAATTACATAAAATAGCAATCAATTTACATAAACACACAGTTACAGTTCAGCAGTTAAAATCATTTGTTATAAAACACTTACCCTTTTTTTTTCACTTTTTTTTTTTTCATATACACTGTGATCTGTTTTAGTTTGAAAAAACATCAGAGAGTAGCAGAAACTTGGCATTGCATATGCTTCTATTTTCACTTAAAAATTCAGAGATGCACTAATTTAATGTCATGCACAAATTTGGATCCATAGAATTAAATTGATTACAAAGTACAACTTCATGGAGTGCAAATTTTTGCATTTTCTACTGTTAGGAAAAATTTCTGAATAAATTCAACACTTTTTTTTCATCAGCCAGCAAACTTGACAATCCCATTATGATTCAGCAGATGCAAGTACTAATGGACTGGCACTTGTCAGCTTGATGCCCTTCCTTGTCAGAGGCGTAGCTAGGGATTTCAGCGCCCAGGGACAACTGAAGATTTTGCGCCCCTTGCTGTGTGCCACGAATGGAAAACACTTCATTCTAAAATTTCGTACCATCATTTTGGCGCCCCCTTAGATGCTGCGCCCGGGGACAGATGTCCTCCTTTTGCCCCACCCTAGCTACGCCACTGGCCCTTGTATACTTGAGTTTTCACATAAATATATTTTGGTGACATCATGGATTGACTATTTTGGCTGTCACGACATAATGACCCATTACCATGTTTTTTCTTGAATTACTTTTCAAGGGGTGGAGATAATCAGAAAGTACCATAACACTTAATAAAGTTTGTATATTTGTTACCATCTTTTAAAGGATCTTTTAAAGGAATCTTTTAAAGGATTCGAAAATAACTATGGATTTAATATGAAAAAACACTTTAATTGCAGATATTTCCAAAAATTTTAGAAGCAGTTATTCTTACAGAAACGATAGAACTTATTTTAAAAACATAAAACTTAAACAGAGTTGAGTTGTAGCTGATCTTACTCGAACAACCTCCCACCTTGCAATTTGTAGGATACCTATAAATTGCAACAAAAGTCATAAATGAAGTCTATTGGGAATTTTAACACGTCGACCAGCTCTAGTAACAAAATCTTGGACTTTGGGTGAGGAATCATCATCTTCGCTGGAATCTGAATCATTAGCTGCAGGGCATAGAGGCACTTTCATCCCTTCGAGCATCTTGGGCAACGAATGGTACTTTTCCGAACTGTTGATTTCTAACGGATAAAGTCTTTGGAATGACAACGTCTCTCCATCAGCTGTTCTCACTCTGGCAACTCTTGAGTGACCATCTGCTCCAGAAAAGACTTCAATGACGATTCCTAAAGGCCAGTTGATACGCTTGCCATCAGTTTCTAAACGAACGACCTCTCCAACTCTTAAAGATTCTTCCCGACTCTTACCTTTATGAATCAACATGGCTAAATACTCATTCCGAAATCTCATTCTTAAATCCTGCCTTAATTTTTGCACAAAACGCAATCTTATATTTAAACTTTACTGTCAATTCGTTCTAAATCAGTTTGTTTCATGCTAGGAATACTTTGTAAGAAACAAGTGGGAGTTAATGGCTTCAGACCTTCAGAATTGTCTTCAATATATGTAAGTGGTCTTGAATTTATTGTAGCTTCGTAGTCACATAGAATAGTTTCCAACTCTTCATAGTCAAGACTTTTCCTTCCAAAAATTCTTCTTAGCATCTCTTTCAACACTCTAACCATGCGCTCCCACCATCCTCCCCACCAGGCGGCTGTTGGAGGGTTAAAATTCCATTTTATGTTCTTGATAGAAAACGACATGATCTTCTCCCGATCTAAATTTCTTAGAGCATTGTTTGAACCAATGAAGTTCGTACCGTTGTCAGTGTAGATTATATTTACTCTACCTCTTCGAGCAAAGAATCTTCTTAAAGCCATAATAAAAACTTGTATAGACAGGGAATTGACTAATTCAAGATGGACAGCCCTATAAATGGCACAGGTAAAAAGTACAACCCATGTCTTTTCGCTAGAACGCAAATACAAAGGGCCTGCGAGATCAGTTCCTGAAACTTAAAAAACTGCAGCAGTCTTTATTCTGTTCTTAGGAAGAGATGCAAAAGGTGGTTCTGTAGGTTTGGCTTTGAATCTTTTACATGAAATACAACTAGACCTAACTTGTTTCGCTAATCTATTGATCGAAATAATCCAGTAATCTTCTCTTAAATTGGCAATCAGAGTTCGAAGTCCTGCATGTTGTAGTTCACAATGCTTTTGCCTTACTAGTCGATGAATAATCTCATGGCTTCCGGGCAACAATATGGGGCACTTGAAATTTTCCTCTTCATCTCCCAAGAGAAGCTTTGTTCTGAGTCGAACAATATTATTTTCGTCTGTGAATGTTTGCATGTTCTTCAAGATTTTCATTTTCCTTCCGGCAAAACTTTCGTGCTGAATTAATTTTAGCAAACAGTGTTCTGCTGATTGAACTTCTTCATAAGTCAACTCAGTTTTCTTAAGTTTTTCTTTTCGTTGGCAGTTTTTAATGAAACGAAGTATCCAGGCAAGCATTCTAAGAATCTTCGTATATTTCGAGAAATAAAGTAAATTGTCAAGTGAAGTTAACTGATCCATGCTCCACATTACTAACTATCATTTTTCTCTCTTCCGATCTAACCAAATTTTCATCAATGACTTGTTTTTCACTTAATGGCCAAAATTCTTGTGACTTCCATAACCATTCTGGGCCTTCCCACCATTCGCTTTTCAATAAATTCTTAGCATCACAACCTCTTGAAGGAAAATCTGCTGGGTTCATATGCCCTGGCACAAAATGCCAGTCATTCGGATTTCTATTCTTTCTTATTTCTGTGACTCTGTTTCCTACAAACGTATTCCAAGAACTCTCTCTTTTGATCCAAGTTAAAGCAACAGTTGAATCAGTCCAAAAATACACTGTATTGTCTTTCAATTCCAGTCCGTCTACGACTTGACCATATAATCTTGATAAGATCAAAGCTCCCAAAAGTTCTAATCTAGGAATTGTAATCTCTTTGGTAGGTGCCACTCTTGACTTACTCGTTACTAACTTGACAGAAATCTTCTCATTAAATTCAGAACGTAAGAAAATACAAGCAGCATAGGAAACTTCACTGGCATCACAAAAACAATGTAGACTTATTCGGCAGTCTTCAAATGGACCTGAGACGAGTCTCCGTGGAATCTTACATTCTTTCAGTAAAGATAGTTTCTTGACCCAGGCTAAAAATCTATTTGATATATCTATTGGAAGTACGTCGTCCCAATTAATTTTCCTTTTCCAAATGTTTTGAAGCAATACTTTTGGTATCAATGAAACGGGACATGTTATCCCAATAGGGTCAAATAATCTTTGGGCAGCCGATAACACAACTCTTTTAGTAATCCTTTTTTCTGGAATTTCAACCATACTGCCGCAAAAAAGTTCATCGGTTTCAGTGTCCCAAGAGAGACCTAGAATTGAAATGAATTTGTCATGTGTCTCTTCTACAATTTTTTCAGAAGTAACCCAGCCTCGTAGTTCGAATTGTGCTGCAGACATCAGCTCCTTAGCTTCAGAAATAAATTTTTCTGCCTCTTCTTTAGTTACTAAACTCGTAATACAGTTGTCCACATAAAAAGATTCTTTGAGTTGACAAGATGTGTGCTTCCTTTCATCCGAAGCTGTCTCTAGATGGTAAGCTATAGTTGCTTCTAGTAAAAATGGACTAGGAGAAGCACCAAATACCACTCTACAATGTCGGAGAGTGATTATTTCTTCTCGTCTTGATAAATCCTTCCACCACAGACATTTAAAATACTCCCTATCCTCTGGATTCAAACTGATTTGTAAAAATGCTTTTTTGATGTCTGACGTTATGCCAATATCTTTTTTCCGGAACTGCATTATCAATTTGGGTACCAATTCTAATAAATTTGGCCCCTTTTCTAAACAATTATTCAAGGAATTTCCTTTGGAATCTGTAGTCGACGCATCAAAAACCGGACGAATTTTTGTTGTTGTTACACCAGTTTTTATCACAGGATGGTGTGGTAAATAGTGTCCCTTTTTCTCGTCTTTGTCTACAATTTCAATAATTCCATCCCGAACCCACTCCTTAAACACATCATCGTATTCTCTTAAATGTCCAGATCGTATGAGATTTTTGGTAGTTGACATTAACCGTTTAGTGGCTAATTCCTTATTCGTTTCTAATTCTGGACGTCCACTTTTCCATGGCAAACATACTTCATATCTTTTGTCTTCGTTTCTTTTAATAGTTTTACGAAAAAAATCTACCGTTTCTTCATCGGTTACCTGCTTTGACTTTACTTCTGCAGGACATCTATACCGATGACATCTAGGCTCCATAATTCCGTCAAATCCAATTATTAGCATATACAATACTTTCCAAAGATTTTGAGTAGTTCTTTGTTTACCTTGAAGCGTCCATCCAGTTTTGTTGTAATAGCTACCAATTATTATCAATGGCTCAATTCTCCCAGTCAATAATGCGCCAAGATAATCAGCTCCTATTAATAAACCTATTTCAGGCACATATTCTCCTGTATCACTTAAGCGTATATTTTTCCTTTTCAAAATTGGATAAATATCAGGATCCTCTACGCGTGGAATCGCACCACATATCTTCTTTTCGTCCAAAACTGAAATAGTGTACTTGAAATTTGAACACAAGCTTTGTAATGTAATATTGTAGACATTATGGGACTCTTGTTTAGTTTCACTGCCCCAAAAAGTCCATGACTCATCATTTCTTGATCTACAGGTTTCAATCCTAGTTTCTCCGCAATATCTTTTCGTATGAAAGATCTCTGAGCACCAGTATCAATAATCCACGAACGATTCCGGACTTGTCACCATTGATGATTTTCACCAATACAGTTAACAATAACGTTGGAGATTTTTTTGGTGACAAAGAACCTGTGCATCCGATCAGATTGTTTGTCTTGTTTTGATTGATTTATTTTGGACACATATGCTATGGTGTTTTTTCTTGCATATAATACACTTTAAATAAGCTTTGCAGATCTTAGAATTGTGTCCTGGTTTCAAACAGACGAACCAAGCTCCCATTTTCTTCAATGTTTCCCTTTTCGCCCCCAATGACATCTCGGCAGCCTTAAAACATTCTGAGGTATTATGAAACGGCTTATTACAAAATATACAATGCTTGCCATTTTTCTCAGCTCTTTGCTTTTCATTAGATACAATACAAGCTGCAGTGGGAATATTTTCTTTCGTTTTCAATTTTTCAAATTGATCATTCGCAAACCCTGATCGAGCAAGCTGTAACCGCTCTTCACTTTCGACTTCCAGACGAAGAAATTCTAATAAATTTCCTAACATGTTCATCTTGTCTTTATTTTCTACACGGTTGTATGTGCGTTCCCACTCCTTGATAAGAACTTCTGGCAGAGCTGATTCTACTAAAGGATATAACATTGCTTCATATTTTTCAGACGTTACCCCTAAAGTCTCTAATGCTCGCAGCTGAGTCTCCAATTTATCTTAAAGAATCCGCAAAGTAAAATTTTCGCCACTTTTCGCTTGCGTTAAAACAAAAAAAAAAAAAAAAAAAAAAAAAAAAAAAAAAAAAAAATAGATTTAAAAGTTCACGAACATAAATTTGAATTAATAGTTCATCTTTAGCAAAAAGAGATTTCAACTGTTCTATAGCATTGTAATAGTTTTCGCCAAATGGTGGAAAACTTGCAACTAAATCTCTAGCCGATGAACCTTCTTCAGTTGCTTGTAAAAGATACTGAAATTTATCATCTGCATCAATGCTATCATCATCATGAATCTTTTAAATTGTCCCCAGAATCCTAGCCAGTTTTTAATATTCCCATCAAAATGTTTCAATTCTAACTTAGGACGACAGAAATTTTCGCTTGGTTTCATTTACTACACTGGAAATATCGCCCTTTCTTTCAGTGTTTGATAACATAAAATCAACTTCCGTTTTCATAGCAACCCACTGATTTCGATAGCTTTCCATTAAATCGATATCATTAGAAAATTCATATTCATTAAAATTTTCCATTTCAAGCCATTTTACTTTAACTTTTTCATCTAACTGAAACAATCTGTCAGCTTTATCGTTAAATATATTAAATACAGATATCAAATCAATCTTACTTACTGCTTCATCTTTTAGAACAGTGTCCACTTCTTTCAAAGAAGTTGTGAAATATCGCCGTAATTGTGTTCTTTCCCGTTTTAAATTATCCATAGTCCTGTTCCACGGACGCCAATATTTTAAAGGATTCGAAAATAACTATGGATTTAATATGAAAAAACACTTTTAATTGCAGATATTTCCAAAAATTTTAGAAGCAGTTATTCTTACAGAAACGATAGAACTTATTTTAAAAACATAAAACTTATACAGAGTTGAGTTGTAGCTGGTCTTATTCAAACAGACCCATTACCATGTTTTTTCTTGAATACTTTTCAAGGGGTGGAGATAATCAGAAAGTACCATAACACTTAATAAAGTTTGTATATTTGTTACCATCTTTAATGTAAATTTTAATGTGAAAATTCCATCCAAATGAAAATGTGGATAATTGTTTGAAAAATACGAGTACATCTTTCACTCATTTCATCTTTAAATATTTGATTATTTTTTATTTTGTTTCTGAAAAGAAGTCAGTGTCAGCTATTTAAAGATTAGATAATTTCATTAACACTTATACATTATCTTTGAAAAATAATATTTATCCAAGTTAAAAATGATTTTGTTTGTAAAAAAATAATGATATTGTGTACTTACCTATCTGTTATTCTTATAAAGATAATGTTTTACATCAGCAGATCTTAATATGCAGTCCTTTCTGTATGATTCAGTTAAATATTTTGCAAAGGAAAATATCATATTGTGTTGAATACAATAATATAATTTTGCATTTCTGAAAAGGGGGAGGTATTATATATAAATGGTTCTGCATGTATGATTTGGTATGTTGAAGGTATCCACAAAGAATGTTTATGAAATTACTTTACTGAAGATATATTCATGCCATTATGTTATATATATATATTATTTGCTCCAGAAATTAAACTCAGTTCCGTAACTTTTTCATTGCTCATTTCTGTTCCAGATAGATTTCTTATTAAAAGCATATTTATAAAAGAAAGCAAGTATAAAAGAAATACTGCTTATTAAAGCAGTATTTCTTTTATACTTGATTTTGAAATCAGATTATATTTGTTTAATTTTTGTATGCTTTTATTAACAATATGTTTTCTATTTTTTGCGAATATCTAAATTCGGATTTATTTTCTAAACACACATGATCCTGTTCTTTAATTTTTCAATGGGAAGGATGCATTAAAAATGTAATTCTATTTTTTTTAGTCCCTTTAATTTTTGAACACTAATTATCTAAAAATTTTGTTATTCATATTCTATCATAAATTTTTATCTGAATATAAATATTGTGTAATATTTCTTTTTCCCCCCTTTTTGGTTTGCAGTTCTTTTGTTTAAATCATTTATTTTAATGTAAGGAAAATATTTCTGCTCTAGTACTTTAACGTTAGTTTGTTTAGAAATAAAAAGTTTAGTTAATGGGTTTGCATATTTTTCTTTCTGAATACTGGAGAATTTTTCTAAAAGTATTTTTGATAAAAATTTTGTTTTTTATATAAACGGAACTGTCTAGAATTGTGTAGTCAATCATGTTAATTCAATGAAACTTTCAATGAAAGCTTGGATCTACATGTATCTGTTTCCGGAAAGTTTACTGTAATATATCTATGCATAATCTCAAATTGTCAGCACTATTAGAAGTCATTTTTTACAGACTTGTTTCCCCACATCATATTTAATAAAATTGTTTTTGCCCATATATCCTATATATTGAGTTAATATATTTTTTGTGTTAAAAACAATTTTCAAAGCATATGTGTGTTTGATGAATAAACTGATTCAAATGATTTGCTACATAAAATATCTGAAGCAGACAGTACAAATAAGAATCATTTTAATCATCAATGATTCCAGTTAACAAAATGAATAAAACAAATTTTTAAACTTCACCTCCCTCCCTTAGGAGGGAGATCTCACATCTTAGTAATAAATAAGAAAATATTTTTTTGTCTTGCTAGAGATCTTTATAACAATGGGGGAAGAAATCAGTAATTTGAAAAAAATGGCCATGAAACATTTTATGACTAGAAAAATTATATGACTGTAGGTACTTTCATATGGTGAGAAAGTGTGAGTTATGGGAACTTATACAGTTGAATTTTATTAATTAACATTATTTTTAGCAGTATATTTATCTACACTGTTCCCAAAATTTTAATTAATAATATTATGGGCAGTTTCAATTTTATGAGGTTAGTTTTTTAGGAGGGAGAGGTTTGCATTTGGTTGTCAAAAGTTTTTTTTTTTTTTTTTTTTTTCCCATTGCCATTTTTTCTCCTACGTATGAACCAATAAATTTACAAATTTTTTTAAGTTGCCTTAGTAACAGCGATTCATTTCTTTCAAAAGAATTAAATCTTAGTTGAGTGCAACAGTTGCAAATGACATCTCATCTAGTAAAAGCTATTAAGAGTGGAATAGTATGTTTTTATGATTGTGATGCCAAAAGGAGCAAAATCACCGTGTTTAAACATTGTAAAAACAATCAAATATCAAAAGCAACAATTTGTCAAATTTTAAAACAGTATGAAGAGCATAGACAGGTTGATATCAGTCAAAATTTTGGGTCAGGGTTATGAAGAAAAAAAAATTTGAAAGTAGACCAGGAACATTGTTGAATGAAAGTTCATTTGAGAAGCTGAATTTCGAATCCACCAAGTTTCTTAAAATCTGAAGCCATCAAAATCAATTATTCACCAAAAGAAGAAAGTTCTGGAATTATTCACTAAAATGAAGTTTCTGGACTTAAAATTTTATACCAAAAAAAGATGGCTATGAAATGCAAGAAAGGTCAAGAAACTCAGACCAAAAATTGCCCTAAATTTACTAAAAAAAAAAAAAAAAAAGTTTATACCATCTTGAAGTGAACAAAACTCGTGATCGATAACATTTTTCTCTCTCTTCTTTCTTGATTCTTTCTCTCTTCTTTCTTGAACCGTGTTTTATGATGCATTTTAATTTCAATAGTGGCACTAAGTATTATTAGTCAAAATTCGCTAACTGTATCCAGGCGTCTATCTCGATGGTGACGATCCAGGGCTGTTCCTAGCAGAGATGCAGCGCGTAAAATACGCGGGCGGCGAAAATCAGGGGCGGCCGGACTCTCGCGATACCACGATCAAATATTTTAAATCCATTATGATTACCTGTCATATGTAAGTACTTTTTATACAATTTGTAGCATGTAAGTACTTTTGTATAATTGTCATATGTCAGTTAGTATGAAATAAAAATTTTATTAATCATTGAGGGTCTTTTTTTTATTTTTTTTTTTTTTAATTATTATTTGGGGACGGCAATCTTATGAAAGTACGCGGGCAGCCAACGGCCCTGATTGTATCGCTGCATACTTCAGGATAAAGCCTGAAGTAACATTCCCAAGAAAAGCAAAGGTAATGACATAAGATAAATGAGGATTATATTCTGAATTAGTTCTCTTTCAGGTTCTGTAAATAGTTCTGCTTGTTTAAAATAATGTATTAAAAAGGCCTTGATTCCTTTTATCAAACACAATCAAAATGAAAATATTTTGTTTAGGCTGAACTTAACCTAATTATCTAGAAAGTATTGTCAGCTATTTGGACAATCAGAAAACTGTTTTTATGACCTAATTAAATAATGCGCCATCCCCCAGATGAACATAACGAGAGTTTTGGGGTATTGTAAGTAAGTAATGAGAGAGAGTAGACTAAAAACTTGATATAAAAGTACTCATTAGTAGAACCCTAACGGATCACTGAAAAGGAAATTGTACAATAATTTAAAGATGCACTCAAAAACATAATCAACTGAGTTATATTCTGATGCAAGCTTTATTTTGTATGAATTATAGTTTAAACTTTAAAAAATATGAAATTTGTCTCTGGAATGTACTTTATTTTATAATGCAAAGTCCGATATATAAATAGTCTGGACTTCGGCTATTCCGTATGTCAGGAATTTCCAAATTTTAGATCATCAGCTTAAATCCAGTAAGATGACATGTGCGTATGGCAACTTTGGGGGGGGGTCACGTATTGTGTAATCAGATAGAAAAATGTTATCCCCCCCTCTCCACGGACCTTGCGTACAAAGCGTATTCCTAGACTTGGGGGCTTGGTTATTTTATTTGCTTATTTAGACTAGTGGTCCGAATGCTGGACGTCGGAATTTCGGACTTTGTACTGTATTCTCTTCTTAAATTTGAGCTATG